CCGCCGGTTCCGGGGAAGGCGCCGGGGAGGGCACGAGTGGTTGTTACGGGTGACGGGAAGGGCGGGGTCGCGCGCCGAAGGAGGCGCGCGTGCGCGAACGCGGCCGAGGGGGCGGCGGAGGCAGCGGGCGACGGTTGCTAGGGAGGGGGAGGAGGCGTGACAACCGGGGCTGGGCCCGAGCTGCGCAGGCGCGAGCTCCGGGCCGGCGGGCGTGGGAGGAGCTCCAAGAAGGCGCCGGCCCTGACGTCCGGCTAGTGGCGCCCGAGGCCCCCCGTGGCTCCTCCCAGTTCTCTGCGTCAGCGGGCGGGGCTGTGAGAGGGGCGGGGCTCCGCGTGTGGCCGGCGGAGGCGGAGTGAGACCCAAGCGGGCTGCGAGCGGGGGGCGGGAGGTTTCCGCTGCGCGGGAACAGGGAAGTCTGCGAAATGTCAAAATAACCAGGGCCTCCCGCTTTCCTGCTGTCCGGGGGCCGGTGGCTCGGCGCCTGCTCTGAGGCCCGCCCCTGGAGGCTCCCCCCGTGTTTCCTCATTTTTTGTTGACTGCTCAGAGGCAGCAGGCCATTCCCCTGCGGTGCCCTGACCACATTCTCCGAATCGTGGAGATGAGGCAAACACCAGGGCTGGGTGGAACCCAGCAGCCTCCTTGCCAACACATCCAGACGTCTCTAACGTCAGGCCGTGGGCTCAAACTGACACACCAATCCAGGGGCTACCCTTCGGCTAGACGAGGAGTCCTCGGCTGGGCTGCTAAGTAGGTCCCGAATTTCACCAAGAGGGCAGCAGTTCCAGCTCCGATTTTAAATCTTACGTAGGACACATGCTGAGACAGTTAAGGGTCCTTAAAAGTAGCTAATGACTAGAAAGGGACACCTCGCATGTCCACCTACACGGCAAAGCTGATTTTATGGCCGACATGTAATTTTACCATCAATGTCACTGTTGTTACGTTCACATTAGTCACCCTGGGTGGCTGTGCATTTCATGTTTCCAATGCACAAAAAACACTTTGGGACCTGTTTTGGAATTTCCTTCACAGCCAGTTTACCAGCCACACAAGCAAATCATTCATTACTGAATCACACCTTGTTTTGCACATCAAACCATCGTTTTCCAGCTTTCTCACTAGACTCAGTCTTCCACATTATTTACTAGGCTCAGTCTGACTGGCTTTCGCCTGTTTGTAGGAATCACATCCACCTTCAAAAGATGCTTTTAAAAAGAGACAAGCCAGGTATGATGAGCCTCCTGAGAGGAGTAAACAGCAGCATCTATTGAAATGGTCTTTCCAAAAAATTGGCCGGATCTGATAAGTCTCTAGAAGTAACCGCCAATTTACAGGAAATAGAGAACAGAGAAACATGCTAAATGACACCATGAGAAATAATTGGCAAAGTACAGACCAGAGGAGACGCTACAAGACATTCTTTATCCATGAATTCCAAGGGAAAAGAGAGAGGAAAGGCCAGGCTATAGATTAAAACAGACTGGGAAATTTATTGAGTCATACACTTGTGATCTATGTATTTTATACTTCAATTAAAAATTTGGGCCAGGCACAGTGGCGCATGCCTGTTACCCCAGCTACACAGGGGTCTGACCCCAGGAGTTCAAGACCAGTCTGGGCAACACTCCAACTCAAAAAACAAAAGGCAGAAGATAGATATTCATGGCAACTAGCAGTCTCTCTCATCGAGGATGCAATCAAACCATTAAAATGTAGTATAAATGTGTTTTTGAAATTTTTCAAAATAAAAGGAGGGGGAAATATGCAGTATGATAGTGCTGGATATGAGAAATGAAAAACTGCTGTGGGAGCCAGTGACAGGGGAGTTGAGGAAGGCCTCATAGATGGAAAACAGTTTAATAGGGAGGGATACAGCTAAGGATACAGACATGAAATTACTGGTGGGGGTATTGTACCCTCAGGTATGCATGCACACACAGATACAAGGAAAACCAAGGGCAGAATTCTGGAGGACTCCAAATATTAAGAGTCAAGATGTGAACAAGAACAAAGGAAAGATGCTGATAAACAGAGAGGTGGAAAGAGAACCAGGAGAGAGAAATGATGTCGGGTCACCAAGAGATTTAAGTGGTGTGGGGCCAACAAAACCAACGGCCAAAGATGTTGAACAGAAAATGAAATGAGAGGTCTTCGACTTTGGTAATAAGAGGTTCACTGGAATCCTCACTAGTCAAGAATTTAATAGGGTTCAGGGACAGACGACAGACTGCAGTAGGTTGAGGAGAGAAAGGTAACCAGGATGGTAAGTGTAAATATTCAAATCAGTGTGACAATGTGACAGAACACAATCTTTTTGAAAAAAAAAAACAGAACACAACAATTGTTCATGTGTTACATTTATGTTCAAGTGACACTACTCCTTTCTTTATTCTCTGGGCTTATAATAGTGTCATCTGTAGGCTGTAAAGGGTGGAGTTAATGCCATGTAATGCCCTTCACCAAACCCATAAATGACATCAGGTTTGGTGAAGGGCATTACATGGCATTAACTCCACCTTTTCAGCCTACAGATGACACTATTATAAGCCCAGGGAATAGAGAAAGGAATAGTGAGACAGCAGCACTTTAGTACAGATGGAAACACTGCTGACCTTGTCTGTAACAGCACACCACCTCTCTTCTTCAGACAGACTCTCTGTAAAGTCATATTATCAAACTGGGTGCAGTGGCTCACACCTGTAGTCCCAGCACTTTGGGAGGCCGAGGCAGAAGGATTGCATGAGCCCAGAAGTTTGAGACCAGCCTGGATAACAAAGCGAGATCTCACCTCTACAAAAACTTTTTTTTTTTAGTTTTTTTGAGTTGGAGTCTCAATAAGCCACCCAGGCTAGAGTACAGTAGCACACTCACAGCCACCCCAGCGTCAACCTGCTGGGTTCTGTCAATCCTTCCGCCTCAGCCTTCCAAAAAACCCATTTTTTTTTAATTAGCCAGATGTGGCAGCACACACCTGTAGTTCCAGCTACTTGGGAAGCTGAGGTGGGAGGATCGCCTTAGCCCAGGAGGTTGAGATTACAGTGAGTTGCAATGGTGCCACTGCACTCCAGCCTGGGTGACAGAGCAAGACCCTGACTCAAAAAAAAAAGTTATAAATAAAGTTGTAAGCCGGGCTCAGTGGCTCAGCCTGTAATCCCGCGCCTTTGGGAGGCTGAGGTGAGTGGATTGCTTGAGCCCGCGGGTTCGAGACCCGCCTGGGTAACTTGGTGAGACCTCATCTTTACAGTAAATCAAAAAATGAACCGGGCGTGGTAGCGCACACCTGTAGTTCCAGCTACTTGGAAGGCTGAGGCGGAAGGATCGCCGGAGCCCAGCAGGTCGAGACTGTGGTGGCCAGGAGCGTGCCACTGCACTCCAGTCTAGGCAACAGAGACTCCAACTCAAAAAAATAAAAATAATAAAAAAACAAAGTTGTATTATGAGAGTCCATATTCCAAAACATCTTGCGTGTGTCCCTCACTTGATGGGCATTTTCATTAGTAAGCTCCTCACCTGTCAGTTTTCACCTCTCATTGGTGGATGGAACCTTGATGGGTGCTGTGTAAAAACCACACTTATCAAGTGCCCTGGGGACCAAGGCTGATGAGGGTTCCCAAGTCCTGATGTTCCCAGCAAGGTACTCTGTTTCCTTTGGGTTGCTCAGCTGAGCAAAAAATCATGAGGAGTCTCTGAATTAGGAGCCGGTGTGTGAAGCTCCCATTCCATCTGATCCCCTTGGGCTGACATCAGGATGCAGTTTCAGCAGCCTGCTTACACCTGCATGGGCACCAACAGGTGGACAGGAAGCACTGTGGCAGGTAACATCTTCCCCAGCACAACTGGCCTGAAGTAGGGATTCTGTTGCTGGTTCCTCTAACCATATCTTCTTCATTAGCACAATATTAGAAGTTCTCTCAAGGAAAGCATGGGCAGCTGGTGACACAGGAGAATTAGAGGCATAGATTAGGGAGAGCCACTGCAGGAAAGACAGCAGGAAGCAAGTGATGATATTAACTAAAATTTCGGACTCCAGAGCCCAAGCTCTTCTCCACCATAGCAAAAGAAGCAAGAGACAAGTCTGAACAATCCCTTTAACCAATGCTAAGAGTCAGGGTCAACTAACTATCTAGGCTGTGCCAAGAGGCCCAATGACATTTACTTCTTATTCTCTGGTGGCCTTACATGCCCGGGCATTTGTGCTTCCACTTCGGTCAGTTACAGAGACGTGTCAGAGCCCATTTATGGAAAAGACCATATTCACATTTGGTGGCAAAAGAGTTAAAGTTAGCCTTGCGAGGCATGACAGATTCTCCTGACTTGGCCATTTGGCAAAGTCTCTAGCCTGGAAAAGTACGGCAAATGTAGGTTACCCTACAGGCACAATTTCCTAATTGAGTCCTGGCAGTAATCCAGTGGATTTAAGCTAATACATTACATCATTCCTAACCTGGGAAAACTTCAGGCCAAGAAGCCACATCTGCAAAAGTTACCATCCAGACTTAAATACTTCTTTTTGTTGTTTATTTGTTTGTTTGTTTTTGAGACAGGCTGGAGTGCA